GTACTTCTACTTCAGGTTTGGGGGGTTAAATTCCACCCCGACTATAGGTGTAGAGTAATGTTTTCTAACCCAGTCCACAATTCCCCCCAAAGTCCTCGAGGGACCCCCTGACAGTCCAAGGATTTTGCTTTGCTGGGAGCTGGAAAGGAACAACATTGTGGATTGTGGTGTCCCCGAGGACTGGGCGGGACACACTGTGGTAGAGTATGCATGGTCTCCCTGTATTGAATGGGTTTCTGTTTACAATCCAAAAACATGCAATTAGTTGAACAGGCTTCTCTAAATTGCCCGTGATGTGACTATGAGTGTGGCCTGTAACGGACCAGCATCCGGTCCAGCGTGTGTCCCCCCAGCCTGCTCTCTGACATTGAAGATGGAAGGACAAAAAGAAATCATACTTTGTAGTAAATCATGGTGGTCGGAAAGCACACAAAAGCAGCCGTTAACCAGTCTGTACGGACGTCGCCACACACCCGCTCTGAGAGACTTATCTACAGTGTTTTCCATACCTGCTGGTTCTATGCAGGGATCTGGAGCCTCTCCATGAAGCTTCTGTACAGGTGCAGGGCAAGGAACAACCCAGGGCAGGGTGGCAACCCATCACAGGGCAAACACACCATTAATGCCTACGGATAATTTGGCAACATCAATTCATTTTAGCATGTTTTTGGACTGCAGGAAGAAACCTCATAATGCATGGGGAGAACATAGACTCGAACCCTGGTCCCAAAGGTGTGAGACTATGCTAACCACTGGCAACCCAAGTTAATGCGATCTCCAGCACATGGGAATGGACACCCTGGCAATGTGTGCTGCAGTCAGCGACAGCCATTCCCCCTTCCGCGGTTTCAGACGCACAGTGCATTCAGGCTCCACCAGCTTTGAACTTCAAACTTAACTCTCTGCCTGTTGTTAATCCCGTTACTGGCACAACTTGTTCTTGATGGATGAGTTGATGAATGTCTAGAGTAAATACTTCAGATTGTTATTTTTGCGTTTGGCTAAGTTTTGCCATTGTCTTCCTTGATGTTGCACTTTTCAAATATGAAACTGTCAACCCCCAATTGCCCCCGGGATCGGCTGCCCTGATTTCTCAGTTGTATGTCTCCAAAATAAAAGTGTCTCCAAAATAAATTAATGTAAACACAAACTGTTACAGTTTGCTCTTTTCATCCATGTACCCAATGTATTGTCAATACACTATGTTAGTTTAGGTTCTGCAAAAAATGTGAAATATAAAACCAATGACAAATGCTGTGGTTACTTTGTATATTTTATTCAAATATAGATACACACACACACACACACACCTATACTGAATATAGGATTTCTTGCTTCTACACTCATTTGTTCAATCCACGGGGTTGGGCTGGGCCCTGAACCGGCCCAATACACAGACATGCCCTCAATATATTTTGAAAAATTAGGGGGGCTCCCCACAATAAATTTTGCTGATTGGTTACCCATAATGAATTCTGCCAGCCCACTAACCCATTGGCCCTCCGAGAAAATGCCTAGTATTCCAGTTGGCCGGTCCAGTCCAGATCATAAATGTCTTAAAATAATGTCTTAAAATAATGAAGATTAACAACACCGACAAGGCAACAACTACTAACTCCTTTTTAATCGTCTTCATCTGTGTTAATATAAGTCATAAAAATACAATTGATTAGATCCTATAAGTAAAACACTTTAGCTTTATTCCTATAAATAAAAACATGGTTTCCTTCCATTCCCAGGTGCTAAAAAGATGATGTAATGAGAATGGAAGGTTGAGCAGTGGAAAGACCAGTCCGACTGGCGAGGTGTCAGGCCTGAAACTCAGCGCTACCCTGTGATATTTCCAGTCAGTTGTTGTAAATGTTAATCAGTATATTCAAGTCATTAAAATCTGGAAAGATAAAAGCTTTAAATGGAAAGTTACCAACCCTGATTTTCTGATTTTTTTATCGTATCCTAGAACACAGTAAGAAAAAAAGTACCGATTTGTACTTTTGAGGGCACATGTTTGTCCCTGGGGCTGTACCCTTAAGGGTCTGCCACTTGTACCCTAACTGTAGGTAAATGTACCTTTTAGTCAAATTTAAGATTGAAAAATAGATTCTGAGGAACACTTCTGTACCATTGGGGGTACATTAACGTTGTTAGCACCTTGGGAGGTCTGTACCTTTTTTCTGACAGTGTAATGTTAAAAAAATACACTGATGTATCAGGTATGGTGTTCGGGGGGAGGGGGGGGCGGACGACACTATGCGCTACTTCAGGTTTTTCAAACAACTTTAAAACTGAAAGGCTCCTGTGTTTGGCTAAATAGTTCATCTCGTGCTTATGCTGGTTTGTTTCCTTGATTGAAAGACTCACCCAGGTGTTTCACATTTACATTACTGACACATGCATGACTACAGGAGACTGACCAATCAGCACACAGCAACAACTCAGTGCTTGAGTGAAATCCAGGTCTTAACTGAAATGGTCATTTAGAAACTGTCATAGCTCATAGTCTCCCCCCTGACCTGGATTATCTGGTCACCCTAGGATCATTGTGAAGTCATCAGTCTGCTATTAGAAATGTTTAAACTTTCCTTAGCCTGTTAGCAGTGATTTGCTGATTTCCCTAAAGTATGTATATCTAATTTGCTTGAATGTTATTATATAGCACCAAAAATGTTAGTGACTCACACACATATGTATAGTTTTCAAAGCCAATACAGTAATATGTAGATGCCTATAAGATTAACTGAAGGCTCCTTTTTATCACAGAAGTGTTTGTAATTCATATTCTGTCACGCTTATGCCTTTAATTATTCACCACCTGCAGAAAAACTTGAATTTAAAGTGTACTATATTGCATCCATCCACCTATCTCCAGGAAGCACGCGATTTAAAAGAACATTTCAGCTGCACTGGGCAAGATTGGCTTGTAGCTTGAACAAGCCCTGAACATACAAATCTTAGCGATAATACGTACGATGCCGGTCTGACTTACATTTCAGAAGAAAGCGTTAATGTAGGGTGACCAGATAATCCATGTCAGGGAGGACACTCTGAGCTAGGACAGGATTTGTGAACTAAACGGACCCGGATTTCACTTGAGCACTGAGTTCTTACTGTGTGCTAATTGGTCAGTCTCCTATAATCGTGCATGTGTCACTAGAAGAAGAGCTGAACTAATTAGCTGAGCACAGGAGCCTTTCAGTTTGAAATTAGTTTGTAAAACCCGAAGTACCTCAAAGTGTCCTCCCTGACATGGATTATCTGGTCACCCTAGTTAATGGAGACCAGAAAACATTTTAAAACATTTCGAGAGTGACATTTTAAGTCCATTAATAGAATTTTGACGTCGAGGCCTGAAGACTTTCTGCATAAAAGCTGAGTAAGTCAGTCGTGCGCCGCGTTCAAGACTAGTTCGGGGGACTGGTGCGGTGCCCAAATATTAGGCTGCCCGTAAATAGGCCTATCTAACCCAGGAGTGTCTAAATGTTGAAACTGAACAAGCAATAATGTTGGCAGTTCTTTTTTCGCAGTTTGCCGAGCAAATGTACTGGCAGCCGGCTGGTATTTTACATTTATTTCATTGCATAGATATAAGTTGCAAACATGTCAGCAGGTGAGAGCAGCCGGCTTTTCTGATTCTCCTGTTTTTCTCGACAAACCGAACCTAGCGGAGATGTGATGTCACTATCAGGACAAGTGTAACTGGACCGGTGACATTGCTTCCCTATTTAAATCGGCGGTGCTGCTGCTGACCGGGCTGACAGACGCGCACCGATTTCCGGAAGCGAGGTAAAAGACCGGCTCACCTCACATGGATAATGGGATTCATTCCACGTTAACAGCAGATATAGCATTTATATCTCCCATATGCAGGGTATATTTGCTTCTTGTTATGCCGGATATTTTGTTGTTGTATAATCCGCGTGGATTAAATGAATGACAGAAATATTTAGGTTTATAAAAATAACTAGCAAATACAGAGACTTCACGATGTGGTGAAGGGGAAAAGCAATATTTTATAGGCCTAAGCGCGGTTTGACTTGTTATTACGGTTGAAAATTAGGTTAAACTTTTTATAAACAACAATTTTGACAAGCCGCTTCGCAAGTTTGCATTTAATTATTGACAATAATCTTTCAGGTCAGAGCATAAAAAATTCCTCTAATCTGTCTGTCTTTCTGCATCGGAAAACCTTTGCCTGCACTCTGCACAGACCTATGGAAATCTTATAGCTAGTAGTTTACCTAGACTGAGCTGATAACACATGAGAAACTCTCAGTTACGAGCGACCTGACATTGTCTGCTTCGCCATGGCTGACTTCGGATAGGGGATCTTAAAGCACTGAGCGGGATCAGTTACCGGAAAGGTAATCCAAGACTGAGACTACAAGTTAACTGCGATCCGTGAAAGCTGTGGTCAGTTATCAAGGGGGCAGGAGCGACTGCGGAGAAGCCGCAGCAAACACCAGTCAGTAGCCTCGAGTTATGTATTATAATAGGATGCACAAATCTGTGGATTATTCTGAGCCGCTGTTGGCACACTCCCCTCTTTCTTTAGCCTATTGAATAAACACACGGGATGGCAGAGACGCCGGGTGTGTTTTCCTACGAAAGCTCGGAGGTGGACTGGTGTGAGGGTAATTACCAGCACTCCGAAAACGTGGTGGAGTTCTTCAACACAGTAAGAGTGCGACCCTGGCTACGTCACGGTGTCGGCATGTTGGTCTGTAATGACCTTATATCTGTTTATACAAGCTGTGTGATTTTTGGTAAAAAGCAACGGCTTCAGTGACTGAGAAGCTTTGGATAACTTGGAGAATTCATTTCATGTTAGATACAATGTTTTTCAGTGTTTCTGATGGTCTCTAGACTTTCTCTGGGTAATATATTGATGGGGAATCCACTATCTGTCATGGAAAAATATGGAGAATACTCAGCTTTTCACTCCTATCCATTCTCCGTATGTACTTTGGTTAAATGTTTGCTTGTTCTATTACAGGTCAGCAGCTTCATCTTTTTTGTGGTCTCCCCCCTAATGCTGTACCTCCTGCATCCTTATGCCAGGGAGAGGAATCTGGCTGTTCATCTGGTCTGGTTCATGATGATCTTTGTGGGTAAGTTCATCCTCTTGGGTCGGTTTTGTATTATAATAATAATAATAATAATAATTTATTTATTATTATTATTATTATTATTATTATTATTATTATTATTAAGTCATTCCAAATCCCTAAAACTTCCAACATGTAAAAATAAAAGGAGTCACTGCAGGCTTAACAGTCAGAGTCACTGCAGCATTACAAAGAATAATATGTTAATGTTTGACAGCTTTCTTCATTAATGAAATTGCAGTTGGAAAACCATCCATCTGCAGAGGGCCGGTATGGTGTCCGCAAAGGTGCAGCCAAACCCGTTTGCACTCATGTAGTACTGGGCAGAGCTGAGGTCAGGTAACTGAACCGGGATCAGTCAGGACCCTGATGAAAGGTCTGTCATTGTGAGCAGTGGAACTAGGTTACAGGGAATGTGAGCAAGCAAGAGAATTAAAGCCCACAGCTTTGTGGGGGGGGGGGACACGGTCTGGTTTCCTCGCTCTGAAGCTGAATGCTCGATGCTTATTGTAGAGTCCTAGTTATTTTCTTTTAAGCGGCCGTTTTATCGATTATAATTTCTATTGTAACGTTAATTGAAGAGGATTTTGTTTTTTGGAAACCGCTTCAAATTGGCACGTCGGAATGGGGTGCGGCTGCGATGGAGCGAGAACGCGAACCTCCTCTTCTGCGGCCTTCTGTCCGCCGGCTACGCTGCAGCTCGTCACCACTTTGTGACGGGACCCTCTGCCCGTCTCTCTTCCCCGTAGGTCTCTTCTCCATGTACTTCCACATGACGCTGAGCTTCATCGGCCAGATGCTGGACGAGCTCTCCATCCTCTGGGTGCTGGCCATCGGCTACTCCCTCTGGTTCCCCCGAACACACTTCCCCTCGTTCATTAAGGACAGGTAATGATGCAGCACCTGGAGGGCTTCAGCTTGCGGGACCCGTCGGCTAGTGGAGGAGGTGTGATAGATCATGCCAGGACCTAATTGCAGTTCAGGGCACAGTGCAGCATTAAATCACACCAAAGTTTTGTCACATACAGTCATGCAGTGTGTACAGTGTGCAGTGAAATTCTGGTCTGCCTGGCACTAAGACTCACAACACGACTATAAACACATAAAATACAATAAACATCAGCAAAACAAAAACGCAAAATGAGAATGTAAAACAATGTAAAACAAACGTATAAAACAACAAACACACAAACAAATAAATAAAATGGATACAATTCAAAAGCTTGGTATTCTCTGTATTCCATGACAGAACCCTACTGCTATTAACCTCATGGAGCTCTTTGTCACAAATACAGTTACATTTAAACTCATTAAATTTCATTTGCTCCTTTCATTCTTAGAATGTATGTATTGTTATGGATATACATTCTCAAATCCAAAGTATAGTTTTTTTTTTTATTCACAATATTGCATCAACTGCATTTCATTTTAAGGACTATTATTCTGTCATGCACCCTCAATTGAATGCAGAAGCTGAATGAAAACAATGAACTTAAATCATTGGGTAGGATCCCCATGATTGCCGATGGATTCAGGCCAGAAATAAAAGCTCAGTCAAACAATGTTTAGTAAAACTGCCTGTATTGTGAAGGATGCCTTGTACACATCACTGATGAAATAGACTGTTCCTCTCAGCATTATGACGTCAGAAAAGTCTAGATGTAAAAGGGAGGAAAATCCCAGCGAATGTCAAAATTACCATATATTACATATCACCCCCCCCCCCCAACTTCAACCCATAAGTCTGCTACTGAATGAGGACATAAAAGCCTATTTTATTAACAATTTCTAAATAAACAGTACTGTACTGTATACTTTTTACATGGTACATTACATTTCCATTTCCCATCAAGACCTGTTTATATAATATAAAAACCATCTAAATTATGTTTCTGTATATACAAAGTTACTACTGTACATCCTGGGAGCACTACATTTAATTGTGAACCGCTAACTTGTGAATACCCCAAACCACGAATGTCAGATGCATTTTAAAACGGGTACTGACACCTCTTCCCTGAGCTAACGTTCTGCTTCTCATCGCTCTCCCGCCTCTAGGACCACTTTCTCCAGGATCGTCCTTTTAATGACTACCGTCACGACCCTGTCGTCCTTCGTCAAGCCTACGGCTAACGCCTACGCGCTGAACTTCTTCGCTATTCACATCCTGTACTATGTGACCATGGAGCTGCGCAGGTCTGTACCAGGACGGGGCATCTGCGTCACCTGGCAGAAACGCACTCGCCAGCCACATTTGCTTCACCTTTATAGTTTAACTATCAAGAACTAGACTTGGGAAGTTTTGAACGCTTGTCTCTCCACGGCCTTCCTCGCAGCTGCACTGACCAGCAGGTGCTGCGTTTGGCCCGCACCTCCATCGGCCTCTGGGTCCTCGCCATCTTCTGCTGGATCAGCGATCGTTTTGGCTGCAGCTTCTGGCAGCGGCTGAACTTCTGCTACTTGCACGGGATCTGGTGAGAGTAGAACTTAGAATAAGTTCCTCCTTTAATAAGTGATGTCTGTCAGCGTAAGTGAACATCTCCAATGAACCGGTGTACATCCTGCCCCTGTAGGCATATCCTGATTGTGGTGGCCACGGCCTATGGCAGCACCCTCATCGCCTACTTGGATGCCTACCGTGAGATCCCTTACTCGCTGCCAGACCTGCAGTACTGGCCGAGTAACAGTTGGGCCTTAGGTCTCCCTTACATCACCCTAAAGGAGCCCACCAAGACCCAGAAGAGCTGCTGAAGGGCAGAGTTACAAAGACACAAGTCTCGCACTGACATGACAATACCTTATGCAACTTAAGGTCTTCCTACCCTACAGCTCCTCCTCAGCTGGGAATAACACTTACGTGCATTAAACGTTGTTTACAATACAAGGAGACAAGGTGTTTTGGAGACTCACAATTTGAGAGTATCAACATCCTGTGATCCACGCAGTTGAAATGTATATAATGTTTTGTCTTTTTTTTTAAATAAAATAGTAAATAGCCTGTAAACTGTGGTATGCTATGATTTTTAGCATATTTTTTTAGTTTTTCCAAAAAAAAAATGGATCCTTGACTTCACAAACTCTTTTGGAACAAAAAAGCAGATCCGCCAGTATTATCAAAGTTCACTTCGTAAGTCATTCCTGGTGGCTCCAGTGAACTTCATGTTATTTTAGCCCTAAAATGATGTGTGTTGCCTCTGGAACCTTCCAGGCACACCACTGGGCACTTCAGATCTGTTTTGTCTGTTGTACAGCAGTAAATAAACTTCAAGTGGATCCAAATCCCAAATAAACTACGCAGACTGAATTATTGTGTTGCCTCTTGTCTAAGCAGTAATTCTGACAGTTACACACAGAGCACTGCATGGTCAGGTTCATTCATTCCCACCAATCAGGATGTTCCCTCATGTCTAACAATCAGAACCTTCTCTCTGTCCGGCACACTGGTCTAAAGACTTGCGGTGATCGAGCACTTGAGGCTGTTGCCCCTAAATTGCGGAATGCCTTGGCCTGCCTTTTAAAAGGCAGCTGAAGACCTACTTGTTTAGACAACCATTTGGGTAGACTGTTTTTATTCCCTTTATTTATCTTGATTATTCTTACTGATTTATTATGTATCTCATTTTATTTATTTATTCTTTTTATTTGTATCTCATTGCTTTGTTTGTTTTTTTTGAGTTCCCAGCTTCCTTATTTGCTCTTGCTATTATAATGCACTTTGTGACCAGTGTCTGTGAAAATATGGTATATAAATAAACCTACTTACTTTATATCAAACTCCACACACTCAGGACAACAGCAATAACGCACTACAATCCTTTTGAGGGGGGGGGATACATTTCTCATAGGTTTGGTGTTTATTTCAGCTTTATTTAATTCCTGTGACGCACCAGTAATGAAAGGTGATGGTCACATTATGTGTTTCATTATCAGTTTATAAGCGTAGTTTTGCAAAAAAAAATATATATATATGAGGAAATCATTTAAATGTGACTTTTCTCTCTGCCAGGGTGAACAGTTATTGAAGGATTTCCTTTGAACTGTAGAATATGCCTCCATACAAGTCTAAAAGGGTTATATACATTTTAATGAATGAGAAATTTTCAGGTAATAATACGGCCTTGTCAAATATCTGTCTTATCTGAATATACAATAAGCTATTGAATTACTTTGATTAGATGGCAGCACTGGATTAGATCTAACAATTAGACATGATCCCTTATGAGCTGATGCAAAAGCGGCTTTTTCCTGGACCTTCTCAGTACAGAAGTCTTGCTATGGTATTTGAGTATGTCTGTTTTAGCCGGTGACATTTCTTATCCGATTAAACATGCAATATGATTCAACCAACAGTTCCCAATAACTTCCTAATAACTCTCTGGTCACGGATTCCAGCTAGTTATTAGCAATCATTTTCCTTCATAGATTCATCCACCAGTCCTACCCAGTACAGGGATTGTTCGAACTGTCCTAGACAATACAGCGCATAAGGCAGGGGGGCACCGTGGAGAGGATGTCCGTCTTTTGTAGAACACACAGGTGAACACTATGGGAAATTTAGAGATACCAATTTGCTTCACTACATGCAGGAAAAGGCTTTCAAACTTCAAACAGTAATTCACTCCTCCATGGACTGACAGCAAATGTGCCAGTATATGCGCCTAGTGTTGAACGCATTATTCTGTAGATGGATCTGGAATTCTGCACAAGTCCTTCCCATGAAACCCACTGATCTGACAGAACTGGACCAGTGCAGGCTGTTCGCAGGTCTGGTGACACACGTAGCCTTACAACATTTGTTTGCACAATAATAAGTATTCTTGACAGCACAGCACATAGAGAGGTACTAAAAACAATAAGTCACACATAAGTCATCGACGGATGTTAGCAAATTTCGTAAAACAACAAGTGTTTGAGCTGAGCTGGCACCTGAAGAAGTGAGCGCATTACTGTTAAGTAACATGAGCCATGATTACAGGGTGAAAGATTTGGATGGGGTTTTAGAGAGAAAAACTGCAAGCACGTAGCCTGTCACACTGACGCTCATTGAGACACATTCCTGGGCAAATACGTTCTACAAGTCACATGAGTACGATGAAAGGACAGGGCTGGAGAGAACGAACCAGGTCCATTATTAGCTCAGAGCCCCTTACATTAACATGACAATATTAACATCTAGGGGTCTCCGCAGGAATGACTGTGATGCAAAGACCAGGAGCAGCTGATTATGTTTGGATCTCAAGGAGTAGAAGCTTTGTGAAAAGATGAAATGAACGTTAAAAACTGAGAATGGGTGACATTTATAGCTCCTCGGATAACTAAACACTGGGCTCATTCTCGAGCGCCAGTGAGTTATCTCGCTCTGTCTGTCTCTCTCTTTTTTAAACAAGAACCCAGATGCAGAGACTCTCCAAAAGCTCTAATGTGGAAAATCTCTGTGCTTTTACTCCATGACCTGGCACACTACACAGAATTAGAGTGTCACTATGAAACACACGGATATGAACTTTGGAGAGTCACACTTCCTTTATGGCTCCCTCCCTGTCTCACTCCCTCATTCTCACTATACATGCACATTATGTATGTGTGTATATGTTACATCACACATACATATTACATAACCAACCCTTTTACAATGCAACAATAAAAGTAACCATGAGAAATTTGATCAAGATGACATTGTTATTTACAGATTGACATGATATATATAGATATATATATATATATATATATATATATATATATATACACTCACCTAAAGGATTATTAGGAACAC